TAACTGATGTAAAGCATGCTAAAAGTTGAGAATAATTATTATATTTATATTGATAGCAGAAGCATCTCAGAGTAAATCCACACGTTCATTTTACTGCTTTGTAAAACAAGCCAGAGCTGTAGATTTAATATGGAAGAAAGTTATCATTGATCCCATAGGTTGACAGGCACTTCCTGGACCATTTCGATTGATCAGCCCATTCTTAGTTGTTTTTTTGGGGGGGCTTGGGGGGAGGAGATTGGATAACAGAACCCCAGTGAAACTCATACAAAGATGAAGAGAAAGTAGAAGATTAAACACTACAGAAAGAGAACATTGATCTCCAGCTGCACCAAAAGAGCACTTCAATCCCAATAGATCAATAGATCCATACCCTCACTCCTGCTCCCATGATTGTCCCTCTGGCCTCCTCCCCTCTGCCTCCTCATTCACTCTGATCACTGGACCATGCATCAGTATTGTCCTCCTGACCATGTGCTGCTCTCTCACACTGAATGAGACTCAGCCGGCACCACCCAAAACACCACAAGCAGAAAGACTCTCGTATTCTACTGCCTTCAGTGGGAAGCTCCAAACTTACATTACCATAAACATTACAGTTTATGTCAAGGTGATTTATAAATTAACTGAATAGAAATGATTTTAACAAATATAAAACTTCTGCCTGTTCAACAATAAAATCCAATGGACTGTTTGTGTTATAGGTTACACTCTCTTAACCTACCTAGAAAAGAGCCACACGCCCCTATTGTGCATGAACAATTTCTTATTAACACAAAAGACTGTGATAAATGAGTCAAATAGAAGCATAAGGCAGCTGAGGAGTCCCAGCTGCCTGGATTCATTCAAACGAAGGCAGAACCAAAGAGTAAGAAGCACAACTGACACCTTCACCAGCCATTTGGGGGTCAAGAGACATTCCCTTCTGAGACTGCAGTAAATATGTTAACACATTAAATTACAACAAGATGGCTCCAGTGCATTACCTTTTCCCACATTCAGCAGTAAACTTCAGCTGTAAATGAAGGTACAGTTTATCCACAGAAGTAATGCTACAAAGTGCAGGATCAATTAATCGCCTGTAATGAAGCGAATTGTACAAGAACACAGAGAATCTCTTTT